CCATGTACCCCTGTGCTTGAACAAAGTGTGAATGAAATTGTGGATATTCAAAAAAAACCAAAAACTATTTTCCAAGTACTGAGGCAATATTTCTCATTCTACTTAAGGCATAGAGAAAGTATTAAAGGTTAGGGAAATGCAGGTGTGGTGGGAATCCATTGCTCCTCCGCAAACTTACCCGAAAAATGCATTTGCAATACCAAATGAAAGAGAAAACTCTGTAGAATTAAAATAATAAAGGAATGGGTAGTGGTAAGAAAATAATATTGGAAGGACAAAATTCTAGATATTCTTTTTTTCAGGAGTTATTTTTAAAATTCTTATTATTTTTAAGGGATATTTTTACCCATTTAAGGATTTGTTTTCCTTTTATAAGGATATTTTTGTGCTACTTTTTTAATTATATTACCATCCTTTTTTAGGAATATTAAAAATTATTTATCTTTTAAAAGGATGCTTATATATGCATATAGAAAATCCTTTTAAAAGTATATTTCAAAATTTTAATATTTTTATAAGGGAATATTTTAAGGATATTATTGCGTTATTTATTGTTCTAAAAGGATATTTTTATTCCCTATAAGAAAACCATTTTCTTTTATTTTTTTAAATTTATTTATACTACAATTTTCCAAATAGTGAATTCAAGGCGTATTCATATAAGGTCGGAGCAGGCTCATATAAGTAAAAATATCGTGCATTTTCTTATTGCTTTTCGGTACTTTAGGAAAAAATTTAAACATTTTTAATGCTACAAAATTTGCTCTGTTATTTTATAACCATATTGTTATTCTACATTGCGCTGAATTTTCTAAATAATTTCTTGTAGTAATTTTATTTTTGATATTTCAAAGGAGAAAAACCAATAACGCAGTTTTACTATTTTTGGTCCCTAGATTTAAAAATTAATTTAAATTTGCTAGTAAATGCTGCTATTTTTAACCGACTTCACAAAAAGGAGAAGGTTATCAATTCGTCGGCATATATATATATATTTTTTTTTTTATGTATGTTACCACGTAATTGTGGACCACGGCAACCGATTTCTATAATGCTTTCTTTAAAGGAAAGGTGTTACCTCACAGTTGGTCCCATACAAATCTGGTTTAAGTCCGATTATTAGATAATGAAGAAATTAACGATAATCTAAATTTTGTATATGAGTATTAAAGTCGGTTTTGTTTTTTGCTTAAAAATTATTTGTTTTTATTTTCACTTCTACTTTATTACAAAAAAACCGATTTAAATCTAAATTAACATCTAATAAAAAGCAATCCAAAACTTTAAATGCATTTATGTGAACATGCTCAATTTACTAATTCTTTCCCGCAATTTCATTTTACAGCCGAGGAAGAAATTAGCGATAAGGCCTCAACGTGTGGGAAGCTGCTGATAATTCTATCTTGCGCACTTGTCGTACTCACATTGCCGTTCAGTTTGTTCGTGTGCTTTAAGGTAAGTACGCCATGAATTATGTGCTTGTACAGACACGCACATGCAAGCAAAGTATACACCCTGCAAGAAATCAAACTGGCTCGGTACTCGCGCCGAACTAGCTTGACAGGGGACGGTACTGGTTCTTCATCTATCTTAAATCAATTCTTTCAACTACGAAGTGGCGATTGACCCCCTCTACAGAGCTTTTGAACTCATTCTGGACGGGTTCTTTTTGGACAGATATGGAACCATAAGCTTTTTATGAGAAAAAAATTTTTTAAGATCCGATTTTTTATTAAATTTTTTTATTCTTATTTTATTTTTATTAAGTTAAGTTAAGTAGCAATTTCAAATTTATTAAATCCGAAAATTCACAACTGCCTCCACCGCGACCAACGATGTTAGAGTCGGAGGTCTTCGCGTGGAGCTTTTTTCATACTAGTGTGTGAGAAGTTAGAATTTATATATTTACTTCTCAGCTCTCACATGCTAAATGTGAGAAAATTTGACGGCTGCGCCATTACTACACCGGAAGTGCCAACTTTTCCGCTCTGCCAGCCGTTTTTCAGTAGTTCAGTGACAGTTCTAAACATTTTTATGATGGAACTAGCGCTTTGCCAGACTGTCTCTAAAGTTTCCTACAGGGTACATATGTATGTATGTTGTTCATGTGTGCGTCTGCAGCTGCTTAAAAATCCACATTAAAAGCGATATATAGTTCAGCAGTGGCGCTAGTTGCTCCTCGGTTAAGGCAATCAAAATAGCAAAGCTGCAAATGAATGGAATAATAAATGATCTTTACACCTTTCCAACTGAATGCATTTAGCCAGCAGCTATCGGTGAACAGGTAGAAACCAACAACAGCACTGGCAACAGCAGTTGCAGCTTTGAAAATCATTTATTTTATTGCTTTGCAGTTTTAGCTGTCTGCGAGAGAAGCTTTTGTGTTCGACTACCGCTGCCGCAACTTGCTGGCCTACCAACTATGTACTCTAGCAACAGCTGCCACTAGCACTAATACTGCAGACGCATGCCGACGACACACATTTACGAACACACACAAACAATCTTTTCAAATAACTATGCCATTCATGCGCATAATTTTTATTATTCTTCTTTCCNTTCGCTTGGTTTGTCAAACCGCTTGTGTGGTGTATTTCGCTCTTTATTTTATTGCTTTGCAGTTTTAGCTGTCTGCGAGAGAAGCTTTTGTGTTCGACTACCGCTGCCGCAACTTGCTGGCCTACCAACTATGTACCAGCAACAGCTGCCACTAGCACTAACACTGCAGACGCATACCGACGACACACATTTACAAACACACACAAACAATCTTTTCAAATAACTATTCCATTCATGCGCATAATTTTTATTATTCTTCTTCCAATTCTTCATCTCTTTTAAAATTACAGGTCGTTCAGGAATATGAACGTGCTGTCATATTTCGTTTGGGTCGTCTTATGCAGGGAGGCGCCAAGGGTCCTGGTGAGTATAAGTATTTGTAAGAATATGAGTTTGGTTGAAAATATCTAAGTTGAATGTGAGTGATGTACATAGATTCAAGCAAGCGCGACTGAAATTATTATACGTGCGATTTATCAGAAGCACGCTAGGAAATTGTGCCTTGAAAGTTATATCTATACTTTTTATTAAATAAAGTCTCATATGTATATGAGTACTGTCGTATGAGTTGAAGCGAAAATCGTTGAAATATTTAAAGCAATTTCTTTGAGGTAATTTAGTATAGAGGAATTTTGTCTGATTCCGTGAATGTGAAATGTTTGAAATCACTCGAGACAAAGAACTCCACTACTTAATATGGCTCTGCTCAGTAACATATTATAAAATGGCTTTCCTGCAAATATGTACCTTAAAAATATGTTTTTTTTGGGAATGTTTGTAATAACGAAAAAATACTTATACTTACGAAATTTCGAAATTTCAAAATTAGTTACCTCCGCCAAGAATGGATAGCTAATAAGGACGAAATTTGAGGATGGGGACGTGGTTTTATTAGTCCTTAACGTATATTTTTTTTTTTTCAAAAATAAATATCGGGAATTTTCAAGGATATTCAAGTATAAAATTTTAAAGGGACGATTTTAATATTCTGTAGAATTGTCTCTTTAATTTTTTACCCATACTGTTATTCTACATTGCTATGATTTTTTTAAATAATTTTTTGAAAAAATTATTGTTTTGAAATTTCAAAGTCTTTTGAAAAAATCTGACACCGGAGGGAAAAACTAAAAACGCTGTTTTACTACTCCTAGTTTCGCGAGTATATTGATTGCTTTGTGTGTTGTGAAATTTTTTGAAAACCGTTAATACTTTTATTTTAGCAAGAAACATCGAATAAGATTCTCTTTTTCTTTTTTAAAGACGAAGTAAGCCTGATGAATATACATATATAAAATTGTAGTTTTGCACTTGAAAGTTCCCGAAAAAGTCTCGAACATTACCGAAAGATCCCCTAAAATTCCCCAGAAAGTCCGGAAAATCCCAAATTTCCCGAAAAAAATCTGAAATATAAAACCAGAAAATACCGAAAATTATCATAAAACCTTGTTCACCGCCGGAAATTTTACAGGCACACTGAACAAGCATTTCAGCTACAAACTTCCGACAGCCACGGACTACTTTTTGATGAAGTGGAGCCTCCACCAAGGCACGTCGGAAAGCATCTCTGCGAGCTAAAGGGCTAGGTCCAGCAATACATGACGCAACCACTGCATCCGACTGTGAGTGCCGTTATACGAGAACAAACACGGGGGGACACTGGCAAAACTTCAGTTTAGCTACTGCAGCAGACTCAACTCTTCTAGATGCCGACGTACTTAATGTATGTCCGGCATGTGGAGAGTCTCCGCATTAAACAAAACATTTCCGCCCACACAACTCAACTCAATTAACACCCTTTTCCCCTGTGGTCTAACCCCGTTGGAGTGGCGCGCTTGATGGACCTATCGTTAATTGAGCTTGACGACAACGACTGACTGACAATCTAGACCGTAAGCCGCTACAACAACAATATTTGATATGCTTTTATATCAATTCGTGTTGGACGAATGCATGCCTGCCAATTGAAACTTATGTCCTCTCTCTGTGATCCTGCGTAGATTAATTTGGCTGGTTGTGTGCCTTGAAAGGACCGATTGGTAGCTAGCGATGACCTGGTAAGTCATAAATATGCCAGATATTCACAGTTGCTTAATCTGGCACTATTTCTGACTTTTAAGGTTGAAGTCCTCAGCGTCCTCAGCAAAACCCATACTCTCAGTGCCTAAGCATTTAAGATATCAACCGATGTAGGGATCCTTGGAAAGACTCTGGTTAAGATTTATAGTTAGACTTATTAGCACAGGCGACGGGGACCCAGAAATATGGTTTGAAGAACTGTTCGAGTTTTTTAATAGCACGGAATGTGCTGGACAGTTTAAGGGCATGGTTCGGCGGAGGAAAGACCCTTCGACTTTGTACCATAAGAATCGAAGACTCAATTGACTAAATCCTCTAAGGCTGGAGAAAATTCGAAAAAAAAAATCCGAAAAGTTCTATCTTCACGATAAAATACATAAAAAGTTCCCTTTTTCGATTAATGTGCGTTAATGACTATAATTATTGGGGAAGACAATTTCCAAATGGGCATTGCCGCCACATTAAACGTCTATGCACACATGAACATACATACATATGTAAGGACATAAGAAAGTATAGGCCACGTACACACATATGTATATTGTCATCGACAGCAGCTGCCACTGTTGCGGCTGCAGGAGCGCAATGGCAATTTGTGTTAATTGCAGCACTTGATCCAATTCTTCAGCATTTTTCGAGGCGATGTGAAGCAGCACCGCCAGCCGACATTCGTTTGTGGTAAAAAGTTTTGTTTGCCATCGCCGGCAACATCATTCAATTCGCTCGGTCGCTTAATGCTATGTTAAGTACGTACATATGTACAATGTCTATATGGGGGGTTCCATACCAAAACGGACGGGATTCACACTTCATGTGTTTGATTTGTTTCAAATTTTTAGGGTTGATGCATAAACATAAATAAAAAACAAATATGAAATTTGAGCTTCATTAACAAATTTTTTAAAACTTTACAGCACGAAAACAAAAACAAACCGATTTAATAGTTTTCCAAAAATCTAGAGAACGGGTTGAGAAAAAAATTTGAAAAAAATCGCACATACACACATCAAAATTCCCTACGAAAAGAAATATTTTTAAAAATATGTTTTCTTGAAAAATTTCTCACCTACAAATTTTTTTATAAAAAAAAAAAGTTTTTGAAAATATGCCATCTAAAAAATGAAAAAAATCACAATATCTCAGAGCTAATATTTAAGTATAGTATTATGGGGATGACGGGGAGAAGCTCGGCCAAACACTAACATATGTGTAAGCGCCAATCTATTATTATTATTATTATTATTATGGGGTGCACTCTACAACAATTTGAGTTATGAATTTTTTTTACACCGAAGGTGAGAAAAATGAGAACATTACAAATTTACAAATTTACTACATTTTTTTTAGAATTTTTTGGAATATGCAGTTTTGTAGCCCATTCAATTCTAATATAATAAAGTGCAAGTTTTAAGCTGCAAAATTGCGTTGATTTCTTAATATTTTTATGCTGACGGCTTTTTGCACTTTTTCCTTATGGAAGAAATGCGCAAAACCGTTTTTTAAGAAAAGTAAAGAAGTTAACGCCAGTTATTTACTCGCTTATAACTTGTACTTTATTATATAAGAATTTATTGGGCTACAAAACTGTATACTCTAACAAATTCTAAAAAAAATGTGTAAATTGGTAATGTACTAATTTTTCTCAACTTCGATGGAAAAAATAATAATTATAGCTCAAATTATTGTAGAGTGCACCCCATAATGCTATACTTAATTACTACGCAATACTCAGATTTTTTTTAATTTTTTCTAAATCTTATTTTTTTATCAAAAAATTTGTATGTGAAAAACTTTTCAAGAAAAAAAAATTTATTATTTCTTTTGATAGGGAATTTTGATGTGTGTATGTGTGACTTTTTTCCTCGCCCCATTCTCTAGATATTTGGAAAACTATTAAATCGAATTGTTTTTGTTTTTTTGCTGTACAGTTTTTAAAAATGTGTTTATGCATCAACCCTGAAGAATTGAAACAAATCAAACACATGAAGTGTAAACCCCGTCTGTTCTGGTATGGAACGCCCCATATATAGCTGACGGTAATGCACACAGGCACACATACTACATAAATACTAACAAACATCCCAGAAGTCGCATAAGTATGTGTGTAGAAACCTGTATTTGTATACAGTGCATTCGACGATGCAAACATGCCTTTGCATATTTCTGCTTTTACATAAGTGTTGGAGTGAATATGGAAGCACAGTGACTCACACAAGTTTTTACGTATTTTTTTTTTTTTTTTTAATATTCACGCTTTTCAAGTTAATGTTTTTTTTTGTTATTTATCTAAATTTCAGCCAAAACCATATAAATCAGAGCTTCAAACCTTATACAAAATTTAGGAAAATTCACTAAATTTATACTAAAATTTTGAGCTTTTTATTCCGAATATTTACGACATTTTTGTGTATGCAGTTTTATAGGCCATACAATTTTAGTCTCGTTTAAAGTTTAAAGCGACTAAAATTTCGCATTGATTTTTAATATTTCTTTTTTGGTGGTGAATTTTTGCACTTTTTCAATGTAAGTACGAATTTCTTATGTAATAAAACACGGGAGACCGTTCGCAGCAAAATTTCAAAAATTCAACGCCAGTTTTTGTAAATGGTACTTGTTAATTAAAACAAGTAAGAAAATCTAAGTTCGGGCGGAGCCGAACATTAAATACCCGGCGCAAGTATTAAATATATGTTTTTTCACCTTTCCGAAAGCTACCGCTAGATGGTAAGCCGGGGTGTATCAATTTTGAGTAAATTAGCGTCCTTAAATTTCGAATTATTGAAGTTTCAAGCATTTCTGAAATTTACCGTTATATAAAAAGCGGCCGTAATTTTAGTCCGATTTCAATAATTTTC